ACTTGCGCGTAGCACAAACAGTCATCGAATTTGAATAAGGTTTGAGAAAAATCTGGAGACGCAAATCATATCACAACTCTTCTACGAACAGTTTAGATAAATATAACAACTTTCAAACTTGCAGATGAAATACTTTAGACACATATCATAATTCATAACACAACTCTTCTAGGGACAATTTTCTCTAAAAAAAAAACTCTTTAAGGGACAACTTAGGTAACACTTGTTTCATAATTAAGGGTTATAATTAATTGTATCAGTTACAGAAGAAACGTTATTCTGTGATACTACATTTTTCAATCATTGACAAGATACATACATTTACTGTTTATGAATTCATATTAAGTTTGAATCGCAGTAAAGAATAGTAATTAATGAATGAACTACTATATATTCAAAGCAAAATAAATTCAAAACGAACTAATTATATGAACTTTCTCAAATTTTCTTTTGAAAACAATAACTTTGAAACTTCTGACAACGAAAACAATCTATTGTTAATGAAGACCCAAAACCATCGAAAGCGGCAGCTATAACCAAAATTGAAATTATAGGAAGTTTTTGTTTGACAAAACAATGAATAAAATTTCTAAGAAAATTAGAAATAAAAAGCTTCAGAATTTTATTTATCAACAAATAGGAGTACACACTTTTGTTATCATATTTTCTTTCTCCATTTCCTATACATCTCTTTTTCCCGCTGTTTTTTATTTTATATTTTACAATGAATTAGAAAATGAAATGTCTTTTCTTTCAAATCCATTTTAGAAAAAGAGTATTGTATTGACTCGAGGTCTCTTAGCACAATGTTCTTCTTCTTCTTCAGGATAATGTTGTCCAGGAACAGGAGTTAGAGACAACCCATTTGGTTTCTTAGCTTGAAAGTTACTAGTATAAGAAGCATGACCTAAGGACAGGTGCAAGCCTGGGTTAGGATCCAAGTTGAAGCCTGGGTTTGGATCCAGGTTCAGGTCTGGTAGAGGGTCCAGGTTCAAGTCTGGGACAGGGTCCAGGTTCAGGTCTGGGATAGGGTCCAGGTTAAGGTCTGGGATAGGATCTCGGTTCAAGTCTGGTATAGGGTCTTCGTTCAAGTCCATACCTACGGTTCCATTGTAGTTTTGTGTCTTCAACAAGTCAGGTTGTCTTTGAGATGATGGTTTTTCCGAAATCTGCAAGAGGAAACCAATTAAAAACGATTTTTTTTTTGTTTCCGATTTTAAGATTACCTAGAAGTTCCGAACCTTTCTCTCGTAAATAAAGAATAATGTATTATACGTTTCAAAAAAAAAATTTCGTAAATGTGCTTTGTTTTTTTAGTGAGTTACCTCAAAAGGGTCAATTAAGGATTTTGCTTTCCTTTTTCTGGAGCCAGCTTCTTCATTTTTCTCCATTTGATCTTTGTCTTCAATGCAGTCATAGCACTCCCATTTTTCGGGTTTTTTCTTGAGTTTTACCGCCATGCAGTAACTGCGATAACACGAAAGTTGACAACAAAAAATACAAAAAAAAACAAAACATTTTTTACTATCTTGTTGCATAGTTAAAACATTACATATGCTCAGCACCAACTTCGCAAGTTGCACATATGGCGAGATACTTATTCCATCCTAGATCACCACACGTATCGCAAATATTCATCTGCAAAAACAACATTCGTCATATCATCATATAAATTCTATAAGTTAAAGTCGGATAAAAAGCAAAATCATTACGTATTTCATCCTTAAAAAGAAACAATCTATGGTTATCTTCGCGAACTAACCATAATATTTTCCGCTTCATCTTCTTTGTTTTCAACAATATCGGCACCAGGCTGCACAAAGGATTTCATTTGTTCCTCATTCTACAAACACAAAGCGTTATCAGATTTCATTTTTTACATGAAAACTTAAAGAGATATTTTTTTTTTTTTGCTAAATAAACTTAAAGAGATATTCTTCCACATTAATAGATGATGAACTTATATAAATGGATCATTATATATAACCTTTGATAAAGCAGATTTGTTTGAGGAAGATGCTTCTATAAGATCAGATTTGTTTGAGACATGTGTGTTCTTAGGTGAAGATACCGGTGAAGCCTCTTTAAACACCACAATCTGATCATCCACATGAGTGTTTGAAACCATAGTTGATGATGTTATATATTGTCTCTAAAGCAAAATATCGCAGTCTAGTTCCCTGAATATCTAAAACAAATTCAAAAAAAAAACTAAACCATTAATGAATCTTAAACACCATTAACAATGAATCACAACTTAAATAGGAATTCATCAAAATTACTATTTGAAATGAAAAAGGTATAACATTTGAAAACCATCGCTGACCTACGACAAAACCAAATTTCGTAATAAACTATAAAATAATCAACACTTGAGAAGAGGCTTTAAAGGTGTTTAACAACAACAAAAACAATGATCTCTGAATATTTTTAAACGTTTTCTCTTGACTCCAAGATAAGATCGAAATCAAAGTCAAAGAGAAGAATCTTAAGAGAAACTTACGGAAAAGGGAAAACTAAACAAACTCAAAAGTGATGATCTAAGATGAAGAAGACGAACTGAATTTATAAACTTTCGTCAATTGCTTCCCTTAATTGCTAGTTTTGCAATTCAACTTACTTACCTT